TACCCAAAAAGTTATTTTTAATTATCTAGTAGAGATGCCCCAGCGCCGCCTCTGAATTAACTAAATTAAATTTAATTACAATAAATTAAGCCCTTTGGCCATTACTAAAAACCAAAAAAAAAATATTACATTCGGCTGAGAGTTTTTAAATTTTTTGAAAGAATAAATATTTTTTATAACTTTACTATCTCGAAAACCTAGCTTTATAACATAGAAGTTCATATAAACTTCTATTTTTATTTGCGTCTACGCACCAAGAACAAAATAAAGAAACGACTTTTTTGGTTATAAATTATATTATATAATTTTGGCGTTAATTGGGCAACTCGCATCTTGCAGAAAAAATGTATTGGATAATTATAATTATCCAATACATTTTTTCTGCAAGAAATATAAGATTATAATCTTATATTTAAATAAACCCTTTGAGAAGGTTCGGGCACGATATGAGAAAATTTTGAAAAAAGGTTGTCTACTTAAAGGACATTTTCAAAGTTTTAGAAAAATTGACTTTCTGGTTTGCGAGTAGAAAATTATTAAAGTTGCTAAGATTATACGGGATGTTATTGTTTATTATTGCTAAACTGTGTTTTGAAAGTTGACAAAAAATTATATACCAATTCTACAGGTATAACTGCATACGAAAAAAAAGATCAATTTCTTTTTGTCATGTTATAAGATGCTTTAATTAAATACATCTTCTATACAGTCCATGTCTTTAATTGATGCATATCTTCTAACGTGATTTTTTTTTCTCGTATGCACTTATGGATTTAAAAAAAATTGTTAACTTTCACCGCACACTTTTGCAATAATAAACAATAATGTTGACTGTGCCCAACCAAAATTATCAATCTATCATTTTCGTCTAGAAGATCCGGCAACACTGGATTACGAGCACGTTATAATATAGGGATATTGGTTTGTTTTATTTGGTGGTTTCTGCTCTTCTAGACTTTCACTGCATTCAACATACTTACTGCTTAATTTTTGGTTCACATACCTTTTTTAATATTCTTTTCTTTGTAGTTAAATTCATTCATTCCACAGAACATGATAATGCGCAAAATTTTTGCGCATTGTAATAAATTTAAATTTTAAGAAAATAGGCTTGCAATCTTGCGATGCGTTAGTTGCAAAATTACATGGTAATAACAAGTGTTACTTGCAAGTAGAGAACCTTCTTGAAGGTACTTAAACGAAGTAAAAGATTATTGTGATGTTAGCTTACAAATTAACATTTTACACGCCCGGTTTGGAGTCCGTTTAAAAATCAGCACAGCCTGACGAGTGTTAATGACGAGGATAATCAAACGCAATAATTAAGGAATGATAAATTGACGAAGACTTAATAAATTTAAGGCATAACCAAGATTAAAAAGTGGCAAATTATAGAGACGGCATAAAAGCGATATAGAGAACGCAGAATGTATAAATAATAACGAGCTACATAGAAGGCCGTGTGTACCGTAATTGTTGCTAATGTTTCCGTACAGCACCGCTGCTTAATTGTAAGGACTAGTTTTATTTATACCTTTAAGTCCTTTTTAAATGCCAGTTAGAACAACTTTAAAATAGTCTTGTATGTCTACCTTAATTGGTTGACTTCTTTTACAAATAAAAGCCGCATGCAGACAATAAATTCAGATCAGGTCAAACCAAACTTACTGTCAATTATCAACTAAATATTTTATTTTGCTCAACAGTTTACACGAAATTTATTTTTAATTGTGTCCAATTAAAGATACATCTATTTACAAATCATTTGCTTAAGGTAGGCTAGAGTCCCTGCATACTGTTTGACTTTTTTGTTTTAGAGGATTTTTTTTTGTTGTGTGTAAAATTTTAAAAACATACTTTTTTTATTTTTTAACCCAATGTTATTTTAACTCGATACATTTATTCAAACGATACTCTAACGTATTCAATCTTTTAGAAAAAAACGATTGCTCTTTTTTGTCAAAAAATGCTTTTTTAGCGTCGTTTACTTTAGCATTTAAGGCATATCTCTTCCCAGACAATGATTTTTTTTCGTTGCGGCAGCAATTCTCAGAGTAGTTGATTTTTTAAATGGTTATATCGGATTTGTTGGCTGGTGAATTATTTGGTGAAAAATAATTTTTATCTTTGTTAAATGAGGACGTTTTTATATATATATATAATTTTCTTTCAGTTGAGATGCCTACGGCCTTAGCAATCTTACATATTCACCAATAGGTTTTTGCGGACTTGTCGAATGATTTCTGTGATCATGGTTTCTAATTTGGCCGTCCAGAATATTTAGAACCATTTTTCGATGTACGAATCGATGGTGAAATACGCTGATGCAGAGTTCTTATAATGACTGTTAAGCCACTTTTTTGCATTAAAACTATTTTTCCTATGAAAAAGCTAATAAAGACACGAAATAACTTTTTTCTTCATTGTTTCAAAAATGCAAAAGTTGCTTGACACAAAAACAAAATCAAAACTTAATCATTAACAGTAATCGTTTAAAGGATCTCTCTAAAAATGAATTAGTCAAAAATGACTAATTTAATAGTTATTAGTGGCTGCTTTTTCACTTGTACCATAGTTAACAATGAAATACCATGGTATCCCAAAATTTAACAGCCAATTCTTATGTAAAATTGTCCCCTGAATCCTAAATTATGAGTGGAGCAGTTTTTGAGATATGGTCAATTCCATAATTAATGGAAAATTGACTATATCTCAAAAACTGTTTTACTTTTTAAAATAAATTTGACGACATTTTCGGATTCAGGGGACAATTTTAGATAAGGCAAAATATGTTTTATTAAATATCTGTAAAATTTCATAGTTTATGTTCTAAAACCAAAAATTGTCATAAGGAACTGCCAAATAATTTTTTTTTTTAATATCTCTTAAATAAAGAATAATTAAAAAAAAATTAAAAACACGAGCGAAACACCAGTTAAAAATTTAAAAAATATAATAATAAAATATTTTTTTTCTCAAATTTATTTATTATAATAAATAATTTTTTTTTTAACAATTTATTTGGGCTAAACCTTCTATTGGAAATATTGTTTTTTATATGTGTAAAAACTTTATTTTATAAAATATTTTAAAACTTTTTATTTATATTATACTTTAATATCTAATTTCTTTTTAGTTTAAGTTCAAAAGCCTATTATTTATTTATATTTATTATATTATTTCATTATTTAATAATAAAGCTTTAATAATAATTGCACTTAATAAAAATAAAAATTATTTTATTAAACATTTTTTTTTTGTATTTAACATCGGGTACGTCAAAAACTATTAAACTGTCGATAATGTTAATAGGAACAAAAGTTCATATTTTCTGAATAAATTGTAGCGATTTTACTACCTTTCCTTTTTGGCGCCATTTAAATTTTTAAAAGCAACAATATAAAAAAATAAACTTTTTTCATCTAGGTACGGTATACATACTATATGTTTTTCTGAAGGTTTTTGCTGCTGAATCCAAATTTGGCCTCAGAATCACTCTTGGTGTTTTTTAATATTTGGGGTTATATTACATCACAATGTATTTTTCCCCAAAACACGTTACGCAATCTAAAAGTAGTAATAATTTTAACTTTTGGATTTTTTTAATATCCTTTTTCCTTTTAAATCCTCTAAGTTAAGTTAAAATTTATGAGTTTTGTTTGGGTAAAAATTTGATTCAATGTTTTGATTATAAATTTCAACAGTTTTCCAAAGAAAAAAAATTAATGTTACTCACTGTTTGTTGCAATTTTGTGTAACAAAACGAGCTTTTCCACTTTTGGGTTAGAATTTTTTAAAAACGTGACGGTCTAAGGTTAGATTGAAATTTAGCTAGTATATTTTTCCAAAAGATGTATCAAATTCGATCTCAGAATTGCATTAGTTGATTTAAAACCTAACTAGAAAATGTTTCCTAATTTCCTACAAGTTTCTTTATCGTTCATTAACTAATCATTTAGGTTATCTTTTCATTTCATCGAGAGCATTATGGAACCCAATTATAAAAAACAAGTTGAATGTACTTCTTACTAAAAGGTACCAATTTACAAATAATTTATAGGTTCTACCTTTAATGCTATGAACTTACAAAAATATTTTCCGATTATAATTGTCAGACGTATTAGAAAGTGTAATCTAATGCTAATGTTAATGTCTACCAGATGAACAAGATAAAAGTGTGTGGTTTGAAAAAAGCTTTAAAGATAAGATGTTTAAATGACGTTTTCAGAGTTTAAAAATATGCATAAATTATATCCACAACTATTATATAATTTTACCAAGGAATTGTTTTCGTGAGCACCTAATTTAAAATAAAACAGGTCTTGAATTTTAATTTACTTAAAATTAGTTAGTTGATTGGAAAACGATTAGTTTAATTTATGAATGAGCAAATAACTCATTTAAAACACTAACTATCTTTTTATGGATAAATGAAATATTTTGTTGTTAATTTATTGTTTACATAACATTTATACATAATAATGACTACTGTGGTCTATATTTATTAATTGTTTTTTTATTTATTACCAAAATTCATTTTTCTCACGCTCTCATTCTTCTTCGATTAACAGTATACCTATGCGTAAACATATTCATTTTTTTTAATTTAAACATTGACAATGCACTTGAAATGTATGATAATTAAAGATACTCGATGTAACAAATAAAATTAACATTTCCGTTTAGTCATTATATTCAACGAGTGTACTCGACAAAGGACAAGAGCCACTTGGAAATGCACCATTTCCTAAAAAACTAATAACATTTGATACCTTCAATTGAAATGTAAAGTATCTTTCTTTACATACGTATGAAAGAATCACTGACTACAAAAGGAATTAACATAAGTCATTTAAACAGCCAGAGATCGAAATATTTACGTATGAATAAAGTTGAAGATAAACCGCATAATAAGTATGTGTTAAGTGTTTAATGACCCAATGACCTATAGTATAATTATTGGAAAATATTTAAAAAAATAACAGAATTTTTATTCTTACCTTAATTCGTTGAAGTAGTTTTAAAGCTGGGATACAGAAATCTTTTTCAAACCTAATCAAGCATCCATGGTAGTCGCAGACAAGTAAATCCCTTGCTTGTCTGATTAAACATTTTCGGGATTGTTCATAATTTTTGTATAAACCACCGAAATATTTATCAACCAAGCTTTCAGCCTCACTTTTAACCTGAAACAAAAATAAATTTTATTAAAATGAAGGAAATAAATGGGCTGTTATCGTTTATTATTGCTAAACTGTTTTGTGAATGTTAACAAAAAATAATATGTCATTTCTACACGTATAATTGCACCCTTTTCGGCAACACGTATATTTGGTTTGATTTATTTGATGACTAGCGTAATTTCGAAAGTTATAATCGATATAATCGAATTATTTATTTTATTAAAATAATTACTCTCTAAAAATGAATTAGTCAAAAATGACTAATTAAATAGTTATTAGTGGCTTATTTTTCACTTGTACCATGGTTAACCATGGTATCCCAAAATTTAACAGCCAATTCTTATATAAAATTGTCCCCTGAATTCTAAAATACCGTCAAAAATTATGAAAGTAGAGCAGTTTTTGAGATATAGTCAATTCCATATTAAATGGAAAATTGACTATATCTCAAAAACTGTTCTACTTTTTTAACTTTTGATGACATTTTCGGATTAAGGGTAGATACCATGGTATTCCATGGTTAACCTTGGTACAAGTGAAAAAGCAGCCACTAATAACTATGAAATTAGTCACTTTTGACTTCTATGATTTTCTTCTTTTCTCTTGAGACTTTCCCTGCGTTCAACATACTGCATGTTTTCTTTTGCTTTATTTTTTGTTCCCATAATTTTTTTTATAATTTTTTCTTCGTTTTTACAACTCATTTTTACACAGCCACTATCAATAGCTAGTAGCGTTACGATAGAAACCCACTATCAACAACTCGCAATGTTGTTTTATTTTTACGTTTATTAATTCAGGTATAAAAATCAGTTAAAAAATTGGATGTTTTTGATAATATATTGATAAAGTAAGCTTTGTTTTTGAAAGCTATTTATGCATTTAGTTTTCAGCATGTATGAATGTGCTCAAAAGTTTTTTTACAATAAATTTGGTCCGAACCCTTTTAGGGAAGTGGTTATTTCAGTTTAGGAAAGTGGGGAAGGTCTACCTAATCCTCATAAGAAGAATACAGAACTGAAAAAAAATATTTGTTAAATTAAAAAAAAATATATAGAAAATTCAGCTCCTTAGAACCAAGCCCAGAGGCAAGGTGGCTCATGTCCAGATTAAGAATAATAATGGCACGAATATTTGCAAAATCACAGTAAATAATTTATCAATAATATACCATGGGGCAGGGAGGTCAGCCAAAAATGCCAGGTCACTTATTGTCCGATTTAAAATTCTAATTCTAAAGTCTAAATAAAATAAATCGCAGAAGAAAAAGAAAACATTTTGACTTTTAATTAAATAATTTGACCGGATGACATTTTGTTTTAAATCTATGATAATTATCTTTCAGTGCGTTAAACTGCATTATTTTACCCTTCTATTCGTGTTTTTCGTTTGCCTAATTTTCTTTGCGTTTTAAAGCAAACAATTAAAAAAAATCGAAAAAATTGAATTGAAACAAAAAAAATGTATTCGTAATATTAAATTAAGGAAAGAATTATCAGCCCGAAGAAACTTTTTCCCAAACTTCTCTTCATAAGCGAATCGAAATTAAAAAAAAATGGTCCAGAAGTAGGACAAAAAAAGGGCCAAGAAAAAGTGATTCACTGACCCACAGACAACAAAATTGAGACTTGATCCATACATTTGAAGGTACATCTATAGAGAATGGTACCTACACTTTTACCAACTTTCGGCATCGGCCGCCGGCGCTATCTACCAATTCATATCCTCTATCTATCTTCTGGACCATTGGCTGGTGACGCCCTTGCTAATTTGGTTTGTTCAGTATGGAAACTTTAACCTTTGTTAGTTATTTTATCACCAAGGAATATTTAAAATCACTTTATCTTGTATAAATTAAACGACTTCATCTATTTACCAGATTTTTTTTAAAAAAATTTTTACAAGTAATACTTGCATAAAAAAACTTTCTTTTAACGATTTATTACAGCAGCTTAAAAAAAGCAACACGAGCCTGACACCGATACAATTTTTAATTAAAAAGCTCGGTTAGCGGTAAATGTATGTGATAATTATAGGGTATGGAGTAATGAAATCAGACAATAAAGTGATAAAAGTATTTTTCAACAGGGCCAAGTCCAATTTTAATATGGTCTTATCTTGTTAATTATCAGGTTTCGTTAAAAAATACGTTATTAACGAACTCAAATTATATATATACATACAAGTATTTAATTACCCACACATGTAGTTCTAATTATATTTACTTTATACTAAAAACTGGATAAATTATAGATGATATATACACAATATTAAATAAATCAATATTATTAACCATTTTCATATATTTATTTGTAGCGTTATTGGGAAAATAGAAAGAACTTAACTTTTCATGTTCTGTATGAATATCCTATTAGCATAGGATGCAAGATTTAAAATTTCTTTTAACTTCTTAGAAAACATTGAATATATTTTAAAGTGGTTAACGCCCATAATAAGGTGTAAAGTGTAATGATGAACTTTAATAATCATACATTAGGCTGTCATGCCCAAATTTTGATATATTGTAAATGATAGGTCGCAAGTCGCTATTCATTTCACGGATAAAATATGATATACTTGCTTATGAATAAAACATCTGATTTGGTTTATTACCTTTTTAGCATGACTTTAAAATTAAAATGCAACCAACGCCTTAGGACAAGAGAGAAGATTATCTTATTCTAACTTTAGATAAAAATAGAAAAACGCTTCTTTGATGATTTGTAACCCCACCGAAATTTCTGCAATACTCTCTAAAAATGAATTAGTCAAAAATGACTAATTTAATAGTTATTAGTGGCTCCTTTTTCACTTGTACCATGGTTAACCATGTAATATCATGGTATCCCAAAATTTAACAGTCAATTCTTATGTAAAATTGTCCCCTGAATCGGAAAATGTCAACAGTTAAAAAAGTAAAACAGTTTTTGAGATATAGTCAATTTTCCCTTTAATATTGAATTGACTATATCTCAAAAACTGCTCCACTTTTATGATTTTTGAAGGTATTTTTAGAAGAATTGGCTGTTAAATTTTGGGATACCGTGGTATTCCATGGTTATCCATGGTACAAGTAAAAAAGCAGCCACTTATAACTATTAAATTAGTCATTTTTGACTAATTCATTTTTGTCAAAAAGAGTTTGCTCCCACTTGTACTTAAGATCGTCCAGTTTATTTTGTTTAACCTTCAGCTTCTTTTTTAATCTTATAGAGTCTCAAAACCTTTCTGCAATCGTTATTGAGTTTGCTTATATTTTGTATGTGAAATTGTGGGGATAGAATATTTCTTTCATATTATTTCCAACGTCTTTGTGATCTTTGTTTAAATTATTAAAGCAGGTGGATCTTTGTTTTCCATAACGCAAAAGTATTTTTCGATATGTTCGCATTTGCAGGAATTACTACCAGAGATATCAAAGAGGGGTTGGCAAACAAAGGACAAATAGAAGATTTTATAGTTGGGATTTGCTTGAACTCTTATTCTTATTGTTTTTATTCAACTAGTTTTGATGAAATGCAACTATAGCAAATTTATTTGCCAAGGTATATAATATTAATTGTAAATATTAACAAAAAATGTGAAAATGATAAACAAAGGTTGCTTCTACGACAAAAATGAATGCCAAAAAAATTAAGTTAAAGAAGTAAAATCTGTTTAATAAGCAATTTATAAAGATGCAACATTCTTTGTTTATTTTTAACAAACGTTTAACAGGGAAATGCAAAATATTTTGTTTAATTAACATAAAAAATTGGACCTCCTGGTCCACTTTTAAAGTGCTTATAATAACATTAAGGTAAATAAAATATTTCAGAAAAAAATGGTCTTGTCTTGATTTATAACTAATGAAATTATATTCATGGTGCTGCGACAAATTAATAAATAAACATGTTAAATCCGAACGAGTATTCCTGGTTCGTTGTCATGTTAGTTCTGTATCTACGTAATCCATAACCTATCAATGCGCACTCAATTATGTTTCGTGATCTAATTAAATAAGGTAACATTTCAATAGCGAATGAGGCCACTTATCTCGGCATGTTCCCATGTAACTCAAATCGAACGGTGGTAATATTCTTACCTTCCAACCAGTGGGCGTATAAGTCAAAGAGTCGGACTTGCATCCCGGCATGCCAGATATAATTTATCAGACGTAATTATTATTAATCCTCTAATTATAATTATCATATTTTTAGTTTAATTAAAAATAAAATGATAAGCTTAATAAATTTCCAGACTGATCACTTAATCTTCAATTGTCTTATAAATAAATAATACAGTTCTTAGTAGCAATATCTACTACAAATTTGGTATTTAGTTTGTTATGTTTATTCTTAGAATGTTTAGAATAAATACAAGACCGCTAAATACCCCACAAATAACGTAAAAGTCCAAAAACAAACAAGAAGTCAAATTTTGCACTTGTACATTAATGGTCTCATCCTTAGATTTCTTTGAAAAAGTTTTGACCATAAGTACTTAGATAATTTCAAAAGGGGCATATTTCGATGATTTATATTCATCTTTGGCTAAAAGGTAAAGATTGTATTGCTATTTCCAACTGATTGGACATTAAGAATAATATTTGTCGGCCAATGAATAATGTTTAATTTGACACCTTTTTAAACCAGACTGACCCGTTCTTACTCGAGATAAGACAAAAATTGTAAAGCTGCCTTTAAAAAACAAATATTTTTTTTTTAATTAAATTGAATTATTGTAAAGCTGCCTTTGAAAAACAAATAAAAAAATTAAAAATTGAATACAAATAATTAAGGTTTTCTATATGTAAGTTTAAATTCATATTTGACCTTTGAATACAAATAATTTAGGTTATCTATCTGTCAGTTTAAGGCTAATTTCGTAATATTTTCTGAAAATAATACAATATACCTATGTATGTATTTTTTAAGTAATTAAGTAATTTTCATTAATATCAAAGTTTATTATAAACTCTCTTTTTCCCAATTTTAAGACTTAGACCCTCGTATAGAAATCTG